GATTAAAGGGCTCGTCGTTAAATGTGTAATTATACTTTATACAGGCATTTTTACGAGAAAATGTAATAATGTTGCATTTTGAGAAGTTTAAAGAAAAACCGTTGCACTTACACCAGTTTATCAGCGCTGATATGTCTAGCTGTAGTCTAACACAGTCGTCTAGGTCTTTTACTCGATAATATAGTTTTAAAAGCAAAATTTCAAAGTTTGGCTGATGTCATTTATAAATATTGAAAAAAGCAAGGGGCATAAATGACTTCCCTGCGGAACCCCCGATGTGACAGTTATAGATTTAGAGAGGTTGTTTCCAATTTTTTTTTCTTTTAAGTAGGACTTAAGCCATGTTAAAGCGTTGGAGTGAACTCCAAGTTTCTCGAGTTTAATAAGAAGCAAAATATGGTTTAGGCTGTCAAAAGCTTTCACAAAGTCCGTGTACAGAGTGCCCACTTGTTCGCCCTCCTCCATCGCATTAACCACGAAATTGAGGAATATGGCAAGATTTGTAGTGGATCTGCCTAGGTAAAAACCGCTCAGCTGCGTAACAATATAACTCTTAAATGCCCCAAAGAGCAGGTTGTTTACAATTTTATCCAACAGCTTTGGAATGGTAGACAGTTTTACAATGGGGCGATAGTTTTCAACTAAATTTTGTAGGCCCGACTTATAAATTGGGGAAATAAATGAGGTTTTCCACTCGTCAAGGAAGTCACCGCTTTCAAGGGACTTACTGAAAATTTTGGTGAGGGGCAGATAAACAACAATTTCTTAGAAACAAGGGTGGCAAAAGGTCATATCCTGCTTGAAACATATAAGTCTAAAAGCACTTCCAGAACTTGTTCCTCAGTGATAGCAAACTGTCCAATATTTATACATTCCAGTAAAGTAGAGGTGTCAAACGACGTTGTGACAGTATTAAATCTATCAAATACCGACCCAAAGAATCGAGCGAAAAGTTCACACCATGATAAAAGCATAGTAAGGTAAAACCGTTCTCCCAATGCGTAGGCCATGATTTTTTTTTGAAGTTTGCCAACATTTTAAAGTCATATAAAATTGAGAGTAAAAAAAGGAATTGTTCAAAGTTGTTATTGTTTGAGATTGAAAATGAGAATGTGGGTGTAAAATTTTAAAATTAAATTGTTTGCAAACGTCAAGAATTTTAAAAATTCCTCTCAGCGGCTCTAACTTGCTATATTTGTATCATGGTTCACACGATTCTTGTGTTGTGGAAGCGATAGAGTCCCCAAATGCCATGGATTTCGGGATGCCATTAACTTTACGTTTTGAGTTCAAAAACAACCAAAATGATTTAGGGTTAACTTTAATATTAGTATCTAGTGAATTAATAAATTTGTCGTATACAAATTTTGATAAGCATTCAAATTCTTTTCTACGCTGGACAAACATTTTTTATCATCGATGGAACCAGATTCTCTAAATTTTTTATGTGCATTATTCCGCTGATTTTTCAGTCTTAGTATATCTTTCGTGTACTACGGAAGATTAAAAGATCTCTTCTATTTATAGGTTGGAACGTATAAATTAAGGCCTTCTTCTACCACTCCCTTAAACCTTACATACATGCTTGACAAGTCTAAGTGCTCAAAAATTTTGTTCCAGTCAATAGAGTCAAAGAGTGCGTTAAGGACCGCAAAGTTTGCTTTAGCATAATTAAAGATGTATTCGGGTTCGCTATGATCATTTTCGTACATATAGAATGAAAACTGGATTGCAATTGCTTTATGATGAACCGATTCACAGGTTAGAGGTACATCATGTCTATAAATATTAAAGGCAATGTCATTATTTATAGACTAAATCTAATATCGCTCGGCCAAACACTAACATATGTGTAAGCGCCAATCTATTATTATTTATTATTATAAATCTAATATTCTGCTTAGGTCGTTTACAATGTCGTTAATTTGAAATAAGTCAATAGAATAATGTATCACAAAGTAAGTCTTCACTATCCCTTTTATAGGTAAGAGGAGTTAAAATGCCATCTTCAGGATTTTTTACCCATTGAATAGTACCCAAATTAAAATCACCTAGAATGCATGGCGTTTGACAGGGTTGCAAAGAGTCCATAATAAGGCTAATATTATCAATATGTGACTTATATATGTCGTAACCACTATTAGGTGGGATGTAACTTGCAATAAAAAAGATTTCATTAAAACTATCGCGATGCGTTTCACCCATATTAACAGCGACACAGATTTGCTCGATGTTATCGCCAGTATGAAAAAGTTGTACTTCATGACTAGCAAGGGAAGATGACACTGCAACCAAAATGCCGCCACCTCTAGTTACTCCAGCCTGCAGTATTCGGTCTTTACGATAAACTTCATAGTAATCGTCCAAAAGCTCTGAGGATAGAAAATCGGTAGTTAGCCAGGTCTCAACAAGTATGATAATGTCGAAATCGTGTGTTGCAGCTGATTGGTACAGAGCATTTGTTTTCGTACGCAAAACGCCAACATTATGAAAGTAGACAGAGAGCTTAGAATTTCTGACAAATGTATCCATCAGCGGTTTGCTTCCATCGGGGCCCTTTTATGAAAAAAATCAAATGGGCGAATCTTGACTTCTTCTGGCCATAACTCCGAGTCTAATAGCTTATTGATGTAAGACGGTGGAATGCCGATTTTGAAATTAACTCGTTTAATACTCGCTTGGAGCATCTTTTTTTATTAGCTTATAGCAGGATATAAGATTAGCATCGATGTTTGCATGCCTAGCAATATAAGCGGAAATGTCTTTAGTTTCAACGGAGGGTTTGAACGAGCTTAAGTGAAACCATTTGAGGCGAACAGCAACATCAAGTTTGCAGTTAGCGTTCGAACCAACAACGATGTCCCGCATTTTGTCAATTCCGTTTGTCTTAGCATTTTTCTGACTGTTTGAACGATTTGAGCTTTTGTTGTTGTAGCTGGCCTTTTTGGCACGTAAGCGGGTAGGATCATCCTTACTGGCCGCAGTATCAACAGCAGCAGCCGTAGCATCTGCATATGATTGTAGAGAGCGATTGACTTCGGTTGCTGGGAGCGCAGAAGCATTCTCAATTGCACCAGTGCCTTCGTTTAATACAAGAACAGCTTCAATGTCGACAGAATTTTTTGCAGGAGAGATATTTAACGGCGGAGCTTGCGTTGTTAGTGGACTTGATACCTTATTAGAGTTGCTGTTGTTTGCGACTTGCACATTCTTCGAACAAACAACATCACCAGAAGCACAATTTGCCCGTGAAGCATTGAAAGAAGGCGAGACAGCAGAAGCGACAGTTAAGTCATGCAAATTAGGAGAACGATGATTACAGTTGTTATTGCATTCACTTAGGTAGACACTAGGGTTCGTTGAATTTGCGAAAATGCGATTGGCAGCATTAACATCGGTGTTTATTCCCTTGGTGTTGTTGTTGGCGGGTTATATTTTGATTTATTAGTATTATCAACTTGAGTTTTAATGTCTTTAATTTGATTAGATAACTTATTGAATTCCCGGTTAAAAGCTATAATATAATCGAATCAAAACCATGGGTTTGCGAAGCCAAGACAGCGTCATAGGCTTTACATAGCTTTCCAGGCATGTCCATACAGTCATTACACAGATAAACAATATTCCGGTTCCTTTTAAAAAGATTCATATCGTATTCCGATATTTGGCCTTTAATCACGCACGGTGAAAACTCTTTTTACAAAACCCACTGCAATGTACAATGGCAGAGTCATTTCTTGCGAAGGCTTTGTCACAAACCCCACACGAATCCTCCATTATATTTGGCAAAAAATAAAACCGAAAGAGCTTAACATAAACACGTCCTCACTGTTCGACTGCACTAACTACAATTTAAGTCAGTTTTATTTTTTACTTAAAAATTACTTGTTATCCCCTTAGTTACTTAGTTATTCCCTTTTGAAGTCAATATAATTTACTAGGATTAATCAAAATGCTCGAAACTATGAGAGAGTTGTGACAAATTGTTTTGTTTTGCTGGTGTACGTTGTAATGATCTCATGATCTCATGTTTTTATGTTTTTGTTTGTCAAGATAAAATTTTACTACATCCTTTCGTACGTAATTTTTGTCGAAACGAAATGGAAGGGAGCGGGAGGCCTCTCCGCTATGCATAAGCACTGAATTCATTTCATATTTCATCGTACTAAATTTCAGTGCTCTTTAACAAATACTTTCCAAGACATTTTTGTATGTATTATGAAAAGGCGGTGCAACCCCACTTGATATATCAAAATTATTTTTAGCCTAGGACCATCTTTAAAAAGTCTGCAGTAGGAGTGTCAAATTTGATTTTGATTGGTCAAGCTGTTTAGGACGCAGCTCCGTGCTTACGTAGATGCATACATATGTATGTACATACATAATTTTAATTTTGTATATGTATTACGTTAGGGTGATTCAGAAAAAAAAAATTTTCTCGGAACCATGCTCAAGTTTGGTCCGCATCGCACTTTTCGATTTCCCATAAGAATAACATAGGACACATTTTTTTATAACTTCTGATTTTTATATTTAACAAACGATGCGTTGTACTGCAAAGGTCTTGGAGTATTTTTGTAGAGAAGTGAACGCTCTACAAAAAATGCCAGAAGTAATTTTTTGATAAGTCAACTCGGTCAAAGTCGAATTCACCATTCTTTAAACTCTGACCTCGAATAACTTTTGACCGAGTGGACTTATCGCAAAATTACTTCAGTGTTTAATTCTCTACAAAAATACTCCAAGACCTTTACAGTACAACGTATCGTTTGGTAAATATAAAAATCATAATAAAAAAAGCAATTTTTCTTGTGTTATTCTTATAGGCAATCGAAAATGCGATGCGGACATTCTTAATATTAATATTAAGGGCTCATATTTTAATCCTTATTTTGGAGTCTAAACGAGACTTTTGAGCATGGTTCCGAGGATAAATAATAAAAAATTTTTTCTGAATCGCCCTAATATACATAGATTAAGAACCTGAGTATCATACTCACCGTATTACATGCGTTGATATCTGTTATCTGTCCGGATTCCAAGAATTCCAGAACTTTGCCCAGATCGCCACCCCGCGCTGCTCGTAGAAACGAAATAGTCGCGTCATTCTGAGGAAAGAATAGTTGTTGTTTTAATTAATAAAAAAAACTCAATCTAAGTAAATTGCGAAATTTATTATTTAAATAAATTAATGCTATCGATAATGATAAGGCGATAAGATTAATTTAAAAAATTTTAAACGTTGCCATTCGGGGCTGTTGCTGAATGGGGTTTCATCAAGACTTTTATGGACTAAGGTTCCGAGGAAGATAATTCAAAAACTACCATCAATAATTTTTTGGTCTATGGAAGTAATTTCAGACATTAATTCCACAGATCTGATTCATGGAAGATGTGTCAGAAATAAGTTCCATGATGATTTTGTATTAAATTAGCCAGAGACATAACTATTATAAGAGAAAAGAATAAAAGTCGATCAATAATTATTATATTAAGACTAGCCAATGCCCGCTTGCTTCGCGGCGCCTAATAAGAACTTTTGCGTGGACCAATGCAAAAATAGCGTTTAGAAGAAAAACGGTATGTAAAGTAAAAAAAAAAATTTACGACTAAAGAGCAGAATCCTCCTCACACATAGGCCAAAAATAGTAGCGCTTTGATGACATATGGAATACTAAACCCTTTCGATGGCATGAGCTTTGCCGATGGTCTTATTTCTACCTGTGAAATCTCTGCCAAGCGTGCATAATCTCCTTTGATCTTGCAACTAAACATTGGTCCGATGCGGAAGCCAATAAAAGTCCTTATAAAGAAGCCTAAGAGAACAGATCAGCGTTGTCTGTTATATGAGGGCCAAGAGTCCTCGCTGCCCCATAGGATGAAAAGTTTTCCCGTACATTGGCTAAATGAGTCGTGTGATCTCTTGAATATCGTTCAAATGAAGACATTGATATACCAACCATGTTTCTTCTTGAACGGATGTTGACGAATCTTTCCTTGTCAATTCGCCACTTTTACAATTCGTCGAAATATTTATGAACTGGTTTCTTTGAGTCTTACTGCTGCAATAACGGCCGCACCGAGCAATTTCGTTAATCGGAGGTAAATGCAAGATCTCATTAAGGGTGTATGAGGGCGTCAGACAAAGGTGCGCTTACACAATTTCATTTAGCCATCTGAAAAGTAAATTCACATAAAATAAACATACGGCCAAAGCAGGCCAGACCCATGGGGTTTCTATACATTACGGCTGCAGAGCCATCCTTGGGTCTCTTTTCTGCAAAATCATTGCTTATCATGAAATGATTACGTATTATGAATTTCAACCAGGTTGTATTAAAAAAAAATAAGGATTTTCTAAATATCTCGCCTCCAGCGCCACCCAGCAGGTCCATTTTTTGCAAACAAAGTGATCATACAGGAGGCTCACATTGCGAATTTGAACGAAATCGGTCTATAAATACGACCCTTCTAAATGAGTCAACTCCAGTGCCACGAAGCGAGTTTTCTAGTAGTTAGTCCAGAGGTTCTTAAAGTGGGTTCCGCGGAACCCAAGGGTTCCGTAGAAAAGTCACCGGGGTTCTGCGAAATTAATTTTGGAGTGAATAAGCACGGCGGTCGGTTTGAGTTGAAAAAGTTGAGAAAGAAAAGTTCTATAAACAGCTTGACCGAGACGCAATTATCTATTTTCAAGTATACATACATATGTTCTCGTAGTTGGTATGATTGTCGTACTCAGTGCCATACCTACATAAGAGCGTTGAGCTTGCGCTTGACAACATGTTTTTGTTTCTAACCGTTATGTATTGTTGGCCGCTGTAACCAAAGGGTTATAAACAACCTACTACAAGGAACGCTATGAATTGCCAAATGAGATGTGAATTGTGATAACTGGGCACTTGGTAAATCACCTGAAATATTTGTCAGATTATTTTTCGGATGGTAGTAGTAATAAATATCGGCTTGGTACAAAGTTCATTTGCGAAGCATTCATGATCTTCAGAGTACTTCGACATGGAAACACGCATGTGTCTCTGAAAAAGACGTTTACCAAGACTCGACTGTATACCAAGCAGTCTTACTTTAAGCAACTGTCGGTTGCTACTTTAGTGGTCGTTTTACACAGCCCACTGTATACCTTCCTCTCTGGCTACTTAGCCTCGAATGCTCCTTCTATTTGAAAGCGCCGCTGCTTTTATACTATTTCGCAAGCCGGTCTACTTTTACTTTTGCACTAGCAAATCAATTGTATAAGTAGTTCATACTAATAACAATTCAAACATAAGTGTATTACAGTAGAAAATTCATTTGTACAATTCAGGACTTATATATGTATGTATGTACGTGTATAAAAATTTAATATACTTATATAAAAATCTCTTATGCATATATGTAAACATTAACTTCAAAATTTCATAATTCATTTATATATGTATATAAATAATAATTTAAAAAAAAAACACCATAATTTGTGGAGGCCCCAAAGGCCTATGAATTAGGGTCTTCACAATGTCAGCTGCTCATTTATCAAAAAATATATTTTTACTGAGTATATATTAAAGACTAGAAGATGACCCGGGAACTTCATATC